ACGCTAGAATGTGGGAATTTTTCCTTATCCCTTGGCTTGCCGCATCTAAAAGAGCATGTCATCCATATTTCAACAAAATATCGGTTCTATTTATCACAAAAATGCTCAGTTATTGAATTAAGATTTAGAGAAAAATGCTATAAGGAGATGAAAACTTGAGGTCAAGAAATTATGCATGCTTAGTGTTTAATGCAGAATCATCCTTGGTGAGTTTATCGAACTTAATAGCCAACATTTTCATTATTGATTGCAGATTAGACGAGCGTAACTTTCGTCCACAACTTTCGTGGATCTCAACAAAGAAAAGCAGCAGAAAAAGAAGGATATATCAGGCATTTTTTACGGATGGGAGCGGGGAAATAACGACATGCCTCCTGGCTATCCGTCGAAGATTTAACAAAATCAACTTTTATTTCTTCACTAGTAGAAAAAAAATAACGGCCGTAGATTGTCGACTGGCCGCATTATAAACAAGTAGCCGATGCTAGTCAGAATCAAGATCTTCGAAATTCTACGTCGCAGTGGATCAACGCCACCTCCAGGTATACATAGCGAGCTTCACTGTCTCGAAGGCCAAACAATTTGCTTTTAAACTTCAAAAGAATGGATTCAGCCAAATTCCTTTCGATATTCAGTCATGTACTAACCACGCATCAGGCAACTTATACTTCAGTCTAGATAAATTAGTCATCACAACAGACAAACAGAAGTGGATATTTTCCAGAGCGGTAGATATTTGTTTAGTCCATCGGATGTCAGTAAGGTGATACCGATGAACTACCTCAACAATATGTGGCCATAATATGCTAAGGACATGGCTTTCCAAATTCTCGCTTCCAAAAAATGTGTGGCAAGCGGTGGAGAGTAAAAGGTTATGACGACGGTTGCGACGACGACGGTAGGATTTTTTTCGATCAGTGCGTTCGCCTTGAAAAGAGCCTACCAAACCATAACCTCAAAGTCGTTTGCAGGAGGGGCAGGCGAAGATAAAACGAGAGTAACTTCTAGCACAATATCGGCGCAAATCAGACCATCTTCCCTTTTCCAGCGACCTCAGTCATCACTCAATGACGATTTGCAAATCTTTTTTGACACGCCTGGAACCATTCACAATGATAAGTAGCAACTACAAATTGGTGTCGCAATAACGTAGGACGTGCAAGTTGCTGCAACATTGTTGAGCAATTTCAAAATCATGTTGATTTGGTGTGGAAATTTCAATTGCTGTAATAATACGTAGCAACCCCAACTAGATGTTGCATTATTGTGAAACATTCACTTTGCTGCAGAACCCATGCGTAGCAGTTTATTGTGGGAAGTTTGATTGCTGCAGCAATGATGTCGTAACCTCAACTTGACATTACTGTGGAGCATTCGATTCCGTTTAGCAACCAAGTGTGGGACGTCCAATTTGCTGCAGCAGTAGTGCAAGCAGCTCAGTGTTGCCTAATTGTAAGCAAACTGGTGCAGCATTATTAGCAACTTCAGCTTCTTGTTGCATGAATGTGAAACATTTACTGATACAGCATTGATATGTAGCGACTCAAGGTTGCATATATGCCTTCCGCGTTCTTCGCCGAAGCGGCTTGCGTCCATCGAAAGCACGACTGGGAGAGAGCGCGAAGGAAAAAAACGGATTGTATGAAGAGGAGTCGCAATTCAGCGCGGTGCGCGGGCGGCCTATAACTAAGGGCTGCTGCATGACGAAGGCGCAATGGCGATATTAGTTGAGCATGCGTGAATGCGACGCGCGCGTTTCCTCACCATTGTAGATCCCGCACCTTATGCGCTCTGCGGCTAATAAAGCCGCGTTTGCGCCCAAAGATATTGCGCCTTCGTCATGCAGCAGCCTATGAACAAATTCCTGCAGCATCAAAGAGTAAGCAATCCAACTTGTCAATTTGATGCTGCATTATGTGAGCATTCGATTGGCTAAACTAGAGCGTATGCTAGTGTTGCATATCTGTAAGGAAGTGATGCAAATTAACGCGTCGAAATTTTGACACATTTCTTGAGTGCATTATTGTGAAGCCATTAGTTTGTTAAGCCCTAGTGAATAAATTCAATGGTGCATAATCGTAAGCAATCTGCCGCAGCATCGAGGCTTCGTAGTTGACAAGCATGGGACGGGCGACGCTGCGGCACCTCATGCGTTCAGTTCAGAATATAAGGCGTATTTACACACATAAATAAAGAATTTAATTTCTTTTTGATGTTCTAGAAACTTGGTTGCAGCAGAATCGCGCACTAATAGTGAAGTTTGGCAAAATCCTAACTCAAGCAACTATTTTGATTTTATTTTTATTTGGTACGCTCAGAGGCGCGCCAGTTTAATCAGTAAGCACCAACATAACAACATCAATGAATTTAGCATGACATCAAAGAGAGAAAAAAAACAGAGAAACAGAGAAAGTTATTCGGCAATCTCAGAACGAAAAAAAATGCGGCTATTGAGAATTTCGATCAGCGCAGGTCGAGGTGACTCGATGAACTTGTCGCCAACGTTAACAACAACACGGGGCAAGAATTAATAGTAGGAGCGTAAAATAATTAGAAGACCCAACCTAACATCACCTATATGCAAATATTCCAGTACATTTATAAAGCCTATCTTACGAAAGAAAGATGCGTTTTTAGTAGAAATAATTTCCTGAGGTAAAAGGCTTAAAGGCAGCGTCCGGCAAATCTGGACATATGGGGACCTAAAGTGGATAGTAATTTTGGGGCCCAAACTAAGCCACTGCCCAACCAGCAGCTCAGGTAGTGCTCTAACGGCTGAGGTATTTCCCTCGAAACTGGACCCCAGGATCTAACTTCGCATGGAATCATGGCGCAAAGCGTGAGTCCTCGCGCGAACCTGGTGGTTGCGCCATAAATCCGTGCGAAATATTCTTGGATCCAGTCCCAAGGGGAATATCTCAGCCCTTAAAGCACTACCTGAGCTGCCGGTTGGGCAGTACCTTAGTTAGGGCCCCAAAAGGTACTTTTCCGTTATCCGGACCCATTTTTACAAAAGGCTCTTATAGAATATGTTTTTTAGTCTAAAAACAATTTTTCATAAATGCTAAGAAGACTGTCTCCCCGCCACGTGTCAGCGAAAAATTGACACGTTTCAGTCCATTTCGACATGTTTTTTCGAGATCATTTCCGGTGAGGTAAAAGAGCATTTGTGATCACCTAAAAGCTGTGCAACTCTTCTCTATAAGAGCAAAACAATCTAGAACCATTATTAGAACATTTTGGTCACTTCTAGCAATGATTCAAGATTGTCTTTCTCTTCAAACTTTCAGCCATGCGAGTTTAGCCAAGAAAGACTATAAATGATGGCTTAAAGTACCTCACTGCTGCTTGTTCCGCCGCTTAGATGATGGAACCTTAGCGCACTTCTCTATTCTGGGCAAGTCTAATCTGTACATTAGTGACAGCATGACCTCATTATTATAAAAATGTTCATTTTTGATAGTGTTTAATTGGAAATGGGGTCATTATTGACTGAAAAACAAGTTGAACTTACGTCGCTAGATAGGGTAACACAAACTCCTGGTAAAACTTGTTAAACATGTAGATGGCGTGTCAATTTTTTTTGACACGTGGCAAAAGGTTGACACTTCTTACTATGAAGTTAAGACCAGATATAGTACAAGGAATGAAGCATTACCCTTCTTTGAAAAAATGGGTCCGGATAACGGAAAAGTACCCCGCAAAATTACTTTCTACGTAAAATCCCCATACGTCCAGATTTGCCTGGACGCTGCCCTTAACCATCTTGTGGTCCGGAAGAAAAATAAATCGGAAATTAGCAAAAAGCATTTTTTACCTAGCTCCCTACAGTGCAAGCTCAACCCACCTGTACGCTCCCGCTGGGCCTAAAGGTCCGGTATTTACTGGCTTAATTTCTTTTTATTTAGATGCGAAAGCGGAACACCAAGTCGCTAACAACACGTCTATAATTACTGCAGTTTTAAAATTGAAAGACGCCGTAGGACGGTAACGTAAGAGGGTATCCAGGGTCAGGGAAACATCTGTAAAAAACTGTCCTTGTGAACTTTTGGACTTTTTCGAGCTTCGTCACATGCTTCATTGAGTAGGAATCCTAAGAGGTGAAGCATAATCCAAATGATGTAAGACATATGTTTTCTATAAACGCTCGAGCCCAGGTTCACTACTGTGGATACTATGTAGAAGCATAAACAGCGAAGCCAGCGACTTGGTGACAAGTGATTCATAGTGTGCAGTAAACTTGAGATTATCGTTAAAAACGCCTAAATCTTCCACAACGCTTCGATGCTCAAGCTCAGAACACCACAGATATATGACCTAGGGTGAGTAACGGTGTCGCTCTTGCGCATAACTGAGCATTCTGAAAAATTAAAGGACAGATCCGACATCTTAGGCCACAAAAAACATTCTTTCCATGGAAGAAAAAAGGACTTCGTATGCTTCCTCTCTCTCCTCCTTTCCATAGCACGAATATATCGTAAGATCATCCGCGAAAATCTGCACATGAATTCTCGGGTCGGTTTTGATGAACGAAGGTAGGTCGGCTGTATAAAGCAAAAACAAAAAATGTGAGAGTAATCCTTCCTGTGGAACACCATTGCTGCACAAATACTTTCCCGAATACAATTTTCAACGCGCACTGTCATCCTGCGTTCTCTGAGGTAAATTTCAGCCATTTCGGCAGCTGACCACGAATACCTGCGTTTTCTAGTTTCAGCAAAAGCTTTTGTGATTAGCTATCGGTTTTTTGTGTCTTTTGACTGTAAAGAACCCCCTGACAGAAAAGCTTGTCCCTTCAAATGGTGGAAGACCTAATGATCTGAACACCTCTATCCCGCGTGTATGTTTCGCGAAAACGTGTGCTGAATGTTGCGTTGTTCAGCTTTCGCTTAAACCATTGCATTTTTTTGGGATCAAGAAACATTATCTGGCTACCCTAATCAAAATCAGTGGATCTTGTTTTTTCTTCACTGAATCTTCACGTGCATGTAAAAGAGAACTTTCTGCAAAGTTTATCATATAAGTGAACATAAATTATCACATTGAAATGAACCCAAACATATAAAAGGCACAAAATCATACCCGAAACAGATAATGCATTAGTCATGGCGCACAAAATTTGACTGAGGTCGACTAAATTCGCACTCGGTCGGTGTTTTACAATAGGGTCAGTCAGTCTACGAAGGGTCGACGTTTACTCGACTATTTCAACCAAGTAAAATATAACGGATGACTTTACCGAGCCGAATGGTGCGTGCGTTGCTGTCGACTAATTGAATCGTTATCACTGAGTAATAGATGCTTATTATTGAGGATTATAAATACATTTTGGAATTTGCTCTAGCGAATATCTTAGGTATATCTCTCAGAGTAAGTTAGGGTGCTTATTAGAATTCAAAGTCTCTGTATTTCTCCAGACATTTCCGCTCTTCGCTGGTAAGTTTGTGCATGTCTATTCCTCTACCAAACACAGCATATTCAAATGGTCTGTAAAGGATGAAGAATTGTCTATCATGCAAAAATGTTGAAGTGCAGAAAATCTTACCTCGAATCAAGAGTTTCAAAAGAGCGGGCACCAGCCAACCCGTGGTTGGTGGCGAGAATAAAGTTTACCTAAAGAAAGTTTTTTCTTGTTTAACGAGGGAGGTCGTAAGTAAATTTTACCTCAATGACTTTTCCTGCCTCTATAAGAGCTGAGTGAATAAATATACATGATCCAGCCATAGAATGTATGAATAGCCTATCACCGGACGATAGCGGATCTACGCGAGCGCGAAGGACTAAAAGGTGAATTGACTTGGGGGATAAAATAGTAAAGGGAAATATAGAGGGCTGATTTGTTGTCTTAAAAATGCGCAAATTAACGACTGCAGCAACGCGATTATAGCGTGTATCTTCTGTTAAATCTGTTGTGACTCAAAGGCGTCGCGGTCGCGTCTCCACAGTTGACGCAGCATATGTCTTGTCTGCATTGATAAGCTTTACTCATTTTTGCAAAATTTTGTATGTTTATTACTTTACCTACATAATTACCATAGTCAACCCACCAGTAACAGGACGTATGTCGCAGTTGGGATGGCAATCGTCTATCCATCCGACCGAGTCTAATTTGCCAGTTCCTTTTCCCCTTTCTTCGAAAATCTGTACTCGGCTATCCTTGTATCCAAGTATGAGGTAGCAAGATCTTCCCTCCACTCTTGCCATTGACGATATAGTTACTTCCATCTAATTTCAAAGAGTTCGAGAATGTAGATTGCACTCAGAACTCATTTACCTTGCGTAATTCCATCCTTTCACTTTTCATCTTTTTCTGTTGATGTCTGTCGAGGTCATTCCAAACTTGCAATGTTTTGCCACTTGCTGCATAGCAACCCATTGGTCGCCCATGGAAGCAAATCATCTGAAAAAAACATTTCTTCCTACTCTTTGAAATAAAAAGAAAACTTTTGCTTTACCAGTGCGACGCAGTGAAGTGGCTCTATTTGAGCAATGAATTTTTCGGCCACAGTAAATTCATGTTGGCCTGTCAACAAGGCAACATACGTTCTAAAAATAATCTCAATCTGATAAAGAGAAAAAATGATAGAAATGTCAACCTGATAGCTTTGTCCGCGTATCCGACCGAGTAGCGAAGTTTACATGGAAGTGGACGGCATTCCATGGTTGGATCAAGACTCACATTCAGCACCTACAATTCCTTTCATGTTATTTTGAGTAAAAAATTTTTTGAAACTGCAGAAATTACCTCAACATCTTTACCATTATCATCAGTCACACGCGACTGTCCGAGATCATGTAATCCCACCAAGTTATCTAGACAAGCAACATTTGGCATGTACATCTAGCCTTTGATTCAAATGGCTTGGCGGCTGGAAGGCGGGGCTTTGTAATCTAATTAAGGCTGCTGGCGCCCGCGATACAGTCTGCGTCTCTCGCGCGCATTATTAACTGTTCATTATCTAGCCCTAATTAGGTCACGAAGCCCCGCCTTCCAACCGCCAAACCAGTTGAATCAGAGGGTAAGTATGCTGTTTGGCTTACCTTCGGTGTAGTGCAGTGCTTTGATCCGCACATACGTTTTGCTGCCAGTTACGGCAAAAGCTCCACGATGCTCCAAAGAGAAAGGAGTACTCGCAAGACAGAGGGCACCACCTTCATGATAGGTAACGCGATGCCAGCGATCTGGAAAGAGTCGATTTAGTTTTTTGCGCTTTCTGGATGCAAAGGGAGAGTTCGAAGTATGCACAATTTTTTGCGACAAAAAAATGAGAAAAAGTCGTTCGAAGAGCCAGGATCTAAAATATTATTCTAGACTTAAGCAGTATTTGAACTACTGAAAAACGAAAAACTCGAATAGTTCATGTCAGTCCCTTTCTTTGGCCGGGCTCACTTTTAAGCATAATATTTTTAGATAATAAGTTTGGAGTCTATTTGATAGCTTCATTAGCTGTTAGCTCAAAGAACACGTCGATGATATTGATAGGAAAAATTATGTTGATTTACTAGTTGCCCATCTAAAATGATGATAATAAATCGCGGATAAGTTAATCAATCAAATTTCTATATCTTATCTCTCAAAAGCAACCCTATTTCACTGTCTTAAGTGTAAGACAAATGACGAATTTGCTTTTATTACAACTACCAAAGCTTCTTTTTCTCAATAAAAGTACCCATTTAGCATTTCAATTCTTGTCTCTTTTTTCAAGCTTGTCAACTCAAACATAATCTCATCTCTAGAGCTTTCTGTGGAGCTTGATATGATGAGCATACCTTGATCTCTCTCCGATATGACAACTTCGGTGTCAGAGCAATGTAGAGCTAGGTAAGTATCTTCCGTATTCAAAATTTTGAGGTCGTTAACCGGTCCATGAGAGAAGGGGTGACACATTAGACTACTGAAAAATAAGATTTTCATAGTTTTAAACAGTATCGTTTCTTCAATGCTCACCTAGCTATGATAAAATGATCATATTTTCTCTCAGGATCGAATGCTAAATGGAGCAGTCCACCAGAGCAACTGCCAAGAATCTGCAAATGGCAATAAAATTCTTTGTTAAGGGCTCTGATTCTCAACATTACCATCCCATCGTTTTCCATCAGTATTGAGGTTAGATCATCAAATGACGGTAGCGAAATAGAATTGCCAGCATCGAAAAACCGTTTTTCTCTAAAAAGATAATTCAGCGACGTCTATAATCTCCTTGGCCCCAGGACAATAGAAAATTGCATTCGCGTGATGTTAACTCAAAACGATAATCGTGCTACACAGAGCGAAAGCAAATCAAAAGAGAATCTCTTCTCAATAAAAAAGACCACAAGACAGAGCGGGTATGTATACAAAAAAGTCACACTCGTGCATGTTCTCACCGAAAACCCGGTGGAGAACCTCGTCGGCTGGAAACGTAAACAATTCAGTATGGTAACAGAACAATTTTTGATAATGTTACCACTTACCGGTAAAAGTAGATTGGGAAGACTTCCTTGTCATCTGTTACATAAACTCCTTCTACACCGCGCATCAAACACGCAGATGTAAGCTTGGTTTCGTACGAGGAGTCCAAAGAAATTGATGCGACTCTAAATTTTTCACATCAAATGCATATTTTAAAGCAATAAAAATCAATGGATAGGCTCGAAAAGATGTGGAAGTAAGTAGGTCATTGCGCATGAAAAAAGGAGTAACGCTTCAGTGGCGCATTTAAAAAAACCCATACTTAGTATTCCACAAATATCGGTAAAAATAAACAAATGATACATGCTTTTGCACCGATGTCAAAAATTTCTTGGTTAATTTTTTGAATAAAAATATCGTATATTTTTTCTAAAGAACCATAGTCTACAAAATATTAGGTTGTACCGAAAGTTCTGTCGTTTCATTTTTGAAAATTTGTAACTTTGCGCTGTTTCAACGGATTTGCTTGCCTGTAATTTTGTTGGAAAGAACAGGTCTTTCTTTTTCAAACGCTGTTTTGAGGAGTTTCTGTTTTACATTGGGTGCGGAGATAAAAATGGAAAATCAAGACCATGTAAACTTTGACCATTTTATGTTAGGTCACCAAAAAGGAATGCTGCAGAAAAATCTGAAATTATCAGTACATATGTTTTTTGACCTACTCTTGCATCTGTGAAAAAATTGTGCTGTCTGGACATCTCTGTGAGAAGTTATGAATATCGAGTTTACTATGGAAAAGGCCAAAATTAATTAATTTGTCAATATTTGCGAAAATCATAACTTCTCACAGAGACGTCCAAACAGCACAATTTTTTCACAGATGCAAAGAGTAGGTCACAAAACATATGTACTGATAATTTCAGATTTTTCTGCAGCATTCCAGATTTTTGGTGACCTAACTTAAAATGGTCAAAGTTTACATGGTCTTTGTTTTCCATTTTTATCTCCGCATCCAATGTGAAACGGAAGCTCCGCAAAACAGCGTTTGAAAGAGAAAGACTTTTTCTTTCTAATAAAATTACAAGCAAGCAAATCCGTTGAAATTTCGCGGAGTTACGAATTTTCAAAAATGAAACGACAGAACTTTCGGTACAACCTAATAATTGCACCTCTTTTCAAAATAATTTTGTTTCACTGCCTTCAATTGCAAATTTTTTGCTGAAACTCCATTGTGTGTAAGTGGTAGCTCACATGCTTTATAAAAATCATAACAGGTTCGGTGACAATCGAGTGTTCAAATTTACACTGATAGCGTTTGATTTTTGGTTGTTGATGATTTTTTGAGCTCGGAACGCTAAAAGTGCAATAAATTTTGCAAAATTCAGAAAAACACTTTAAAGACTTTGAAGTTTCAGGTGAAAAATCAACGTAACTCCTTTTATCGGAAACTGGAAAAATGATTTACCGCTTTCCTTTTCGGGGATAAACTGCCAGTGTCGTCAATCCTGACATGCAATATAGTGTTGGCTCTCGTTGCGTGTCGTCAAGAAGAAAATGTGTGAAGTGATCCTTATGAAGAATAGTGAAAAAGCCATATATTTTTCTTTTAAAGCGTAAACCAACATTTTTCTCGGCTCGATGCTCGAAAATATGTTGTGAAAGAATGAGACGCATGTCCTTGGCTGGATCCATACTGCCGTTCATCGATTCAATTATTGCTGAGACCTACAACAAAGCTTTTGTAAACACAATTATGGCATAGCAAAGCTTTTTGCAAACCTTTTTGTCCCATTCGGAAATGAACAATTCCATTTCGCTAGCTCTTGCTTTCCTCATTAGTTCTTGGACTGTGTATTTTCGTTCTTCAAACACCGCTCGGCTTTTTTCAATTAAACTGTAATTTCCGCTTTCTAAACACTCGTCATGTAGCTTTGAGAACTGGGTCAACTCGTCCAACTCCTGAAAAAGAACCAGAATAACCGTCGAAGGGTTACGGCTCTCGAAAAAGTAATGACATACCGATTGTATAAGAGAAATCGAATTATTCATGGCCGCATTTGCCTCGATAGCCTTTTGTGAGAGTACGAGAAGCTTTCGAAGAGCGAGAAGACGTTGAGAGACGCGATCGGCCCGGACCTACAATTTTTTAGAGCATTTTTTTGAACTTATATCTGAGTAAGAAACCCATACTGAGTGATTGCGGAACTCGACTTTGAGCGAACTGAACTCCATATGAGCATTGTATTTTTCCTCATCATCATCTTGTGTGTTGTTCACTTCTTGGGTGGAGGGTGAAGGGGAATTGGCTAGCTAAAATTCAGTCAAATCTCAAAACATTTGACAGTTCTGATGAGAAAATCTCGCAGCTCAGAAATACGAATAAGTCAAAAGCGGAAACAAATAAAAGTTTCGCTCATGACAGGAAAATTATCTGAAATTTCAGCGCAAAGTAGTTTTCTTCTGTTGAAATGAACTAGGATTTCACAGCGATTTCGGACGAAGATAGCTAATTGTAAGAAAATCTGTCCCTTAACGAGTGATGTTACAAGTCTTTTTTTTCGAAAAACCCTTGATCAGCCTTGCTTTTGAATTTGCAAAATCATAGGTCTGACAACACTTTATCTTGTCAGCGTAAGGTTTTCTAGCGGTATCCGTAAAAATATGTACTACCTACTACTTGTCAAATTAAATGGGATCGAAAACAAAGGTGAAACCCTCATATTAAGTGGTGCCGTGGAGTAGCGCGTGTGGTGTGTACGCACACATCAAGCTATAAAAGAATCGGCGATATGTAATGAGTTTGTAAGAGTGATTATAGTTGCTGTAAGGGCGAATATAGGCAAGTTATCACACGCAGGAGCTGGACGCAGTTGCGTCCTACCAAGATAGTTCGTTCTTGAGGGAGACAGTAGACGGTAAGAGAAATGAAAGTGAGCTCGATCAGCGAGATGTCGACAGCTGCCGCAATGGCGGCCTGCCTTTGCTTGCGACGCTTGCCTATATAACCTCGTAGTATAAATTGAGTAAAAAAAATTTGAATTCCCAAACTTTTCATGTCCTGAAAATTTCAGGATATAACTGAAGAAAGGCTATTTGTATGCGACTAATTCAGGAACCAAATAGTATGTTGAGGCATGCATCAACAATTTCCCAGAATACCCCACTTTACCTTTTCTGGATCTTCATCCAAAGATAATTGACTTCCGCGCAACTATAATGGTTTCAATTTATAAAAAAAGCGGTGATTGATGCCCTTACCTTTGCCTTAATGTTCTTCATTTTCTCCACCATGCTCGTACGCTTTTCCCTTTCGGCGTCTTCATAGTCCGAAAGGCGTTTGATTTCAGAGAAAATCACGTCCAGTAAGTTGTTCACGTTATTTTTCGATACTGTTAGGCGCTAAAATAATTTACCTGGGAAATAACTCATAAGAGAAAATTGAAGAGATCGATCACCAAATTCGAGGTTGTTGAGATTTTTACAGTGCGAGGTCTCCAACTAAGTTATTGTCCAATCCCTGTTGCAAAGATATATTCCGAATCGAGAAAATCTTTCGGGAAGGTGAATGCTGCAGAAGTCTCCACGCCCATAAAAGTGGGTGGCTGAGAGTAATGAGCGCGAGACTAGCTCAGTAAAATCTCCTTTCATTGTGATAGATTTTTGGCATTTGAAGATGCTCTGGTCCAATTTCGGGCCCATTACTTGAGGGGATTCATGCTGATGGGCGTGGCGACCTCAGCAGCACCCACCTTCTGAATCGAATTTATCGCTTGGGAATACACCTTTATCAGTGCTACTTGGAAGTTTCATAGTCAGAAGCCTAGCTAGCATATCGATTGAAATCTCACCAACTTCAGATTTGAATGGTTGATGCCTTTAACGGCTAACCTGGACGAGAAGCATGTCGTCGTACTCTTCGACGATGATGCCGACTCGGACAAAACCGTCATAGTACGCTGCATGGAGGATTCCACCATCTCGCCACAGTAACCCAGATTGTATGGGACGACTGGAAAAAATATTCGAAGAGGGGGGGGGCGGGTCAAAAAAGAATGGAAGAGTTCGAGCTTACGTGCAACGATAACACTGTAAACATTCAAAGGTCGAATATTCCATGTTAGTGCTGAGGCTGTAGTGGAATACTCCATTTTCGAGAAGAAATGAGAGAAGAAGCTGAAAACTTGAGATTTGGTTTTAAACGTCTGAAAAAACGTCTCTTCCTGTGTCCTATCAACCTATTCATACGTCGTTCTTTCCGTGTCGTTCCACATTGAGCGATCGAATCGGAGCCGGTAGTCGTAGCACACGATGTTCTGGCGCCACACCACCTTCGACCAAATACGACTGATGGAGCAGGCAGCAGTAGTATTCACCATGTACAAGGAAGTGATCTGTAATCTGGGACGTTCACGCCCACTTCCACTGCCAACACTATCCGTGGGTAGAGGAACGGATACCACCAATAAGGTTAACCTCCAAGTTTTACTTCTCACATATGCAGTCGTTGTGCTAGAATTGCTGGTGCCATCGTTGCCCTAGCGCCATGCCAGCGCCGACATCCTGCCGCACGTCGTTCGATCAATACACCACACGTGGGTTCAGGCAAGCCGTCAGCACGGCGTTAGCACGGCGTTGGAACAGAGCTGGAACGGCGATGGCACCAGCAACTCAGGAGCACCCGGAACATATGTGGGAAGTACTAGTAGTTAGATAACACATCGACCGGGACCCAATAGACCGCGAAGTGGGAATTATAAGCAGTGCTCTTCGTTTCTCTACCCTCAAACCATTGTATGAAGCTTACCTCCACCTTCTACCGCTTGTATACCGATCACAGTGTCTTTACCGCCAAAAACTGTTACTACTGTACCGCGTATTGGTAGTCCCGTATTCTGTGAACGCTCTAACTCCATCGGATGGAACACCTCCACGTCACCACCACATCCTGAAAAATCAACGCGGCTTAGCCCATTGTAAAAACCCAAGGTTTTACGAAGACGTTGTGACATTATTTGTCAATGCTGACAGATCATATATCATTTGCACCGTCAGCTGCTGCAATATCCATCATCAACTGCTTAGGGTTACTGATTATAGGTAAGCTGATGAAAGAAAGAAATTTGAAGATGATGCAATTCAAGGAGAGAGTTTAATTTGTCACAATTTTTTTCCAACGATTTTAGCAGCAAGCAGTCTAAAATGGACAGGTGGTCCAGTAGAGGTTAGCTAGTGATGCAGCTTTCAAACGTGGTTCAAGCATTTCATAGGAGGTTGTCAGCAAGGCACAAGAAATATTTCTATTATTTTCTGCAAATTTATAACTCAGATCATTTGCACTATATAGGAAGATAACAAGCTGTCCGAAAATGGGTCTCAAAGTGTTGGAAATAGGATTACTTGAGATACGGATTCATTTAGATATCGATTACTATTGTAAATGATGGAAGTCGCTTACGATTTGCGAATTTGGTAAGAATTTATATTTGCCTTAAAGGCAGCGTTTAGGCAAATCTGAACCTATGGGGCTCTCACGTGGAAAGTAATCTTGAGGCCCTAAATAAGACTCTGCCCAAGCGGCAGTTCAGATAGTGCACTCATGGCTAAGATATTGGACTCCAAACTGTGCCCCGTGACCGTAATCGCATGGATTCATGGCTCGGCACATCACTTTCGCTTGGATCCTCGGGCGAAAGTGCCACGAATCCATGCGAATACGATCACGGCGCATAGTTTGGAACCCAATATCTTAGCCGTGAGTGCACTATCTGAGCCGCCGCTTGGGCAGAGTCTTATTTAGGGCCACGATCACTTTCCACGTGAGAGCCTCATAGGTTCAGACTTGCCTGGACGCTTCCTTTGAGAATTTTTCTTGGCGAGTAGAACGTGGTTCATCATCTAGTCATATGCACTTCTAATAGTCCAGAACTGTAACTCGACAAAAATTCGAGAAACATTCCAAAATTTTGTAGAGGCCCTCTTCCCCGAATATTTTTAGGATCGTCACCAGGTTTTGTATAGCGAATAGCGCTTGAATGCTGAGGAACGCTGATTCGAAATCTGAGAATCTTTCTCTTTCACCATGCAAGGATGGCTAAAATCTCCAAGTTTTCGGCTACGCTTGAATTTTTTTACGCTCAAACGAAGTGCTGCACGCAATCAGATAAAAAATTGGTCAATCTGTACAAGAAGTTCCAGCATTCGTGTTCGTAAATCCGTAAAAATCACTCATGTTATTCAAAATTCCTTCCTCTGGAGAAGGACACTAAACTTGCAGCTCGTAAGAACTTCTGTAGTAAACAATAAAAAACCGACAATAATGAAAAGAGACATACAGAAATGGCAATTCTCCGAATTGTGAAAATAACTGCTTGTTTAAATTTTTGCATGCTACGAGCTAGTTCCTAATTGACTCAAAAAATCATAAAAGACTTACCCGATAACAGCCTTCCATCACGATGTCTGAACAGTACTTTTCTAGGTTTGTACGATGGATTGGCAAGGCAATAACCGGGCAGATATTTCAGTTGTATGTAGTGGGACGGCCTCTCATCTAAGATTGTCATACCCTGAAATGGGTCGGATTGAGTCGAACATTAGCCAAAGCCGAAAACTTAGCGATAGGACGAGCGCACAAACGCATGCCACAACGCCTACAGAGCAGAGCAGCCATTGGGCAGCAGAAGCACACGAGAGTGCGAGAACTGAGAAACGGGCTGGGAAAACTACAACTCAGAGGCAGCGAATACGGTGTGGGTGAGAACGAATTGAGAACGAACGAACGAACGCTAGCAGGAACGGCGTTACCTGAGTGCTCTCGAACATCACCGCCTCGGGCACAGGGGGCGCATCTTGTGCGTTGTTCTCGAGCATAGTCATGGCGAGTTCTTGAATCTTGAGATCTCCTCACACAGCTACAAGCTAACAGCGCTAGAGACGACTCTCTGTCTGCTGAGGCCACAACAGGCACACTCTGAAATGGCGTCAGTTGACCGCGTTACGGTGTCCCTCGGTGTGATTTCGCATGGTCCACTTATTCTCTATGCCCTAACGTTTTTGACAGCAAAGTGTTTTCGACCGGCGTTCGACGCACGCCGGCACCCGATCAGCGAAATGGACGTCTTTCCGCTAACGCTCGATCTATTTATTTTATTTGTTACATACAGAAAATGTTATCGATTTCAAAGAATTAAAAATTCCGAGGTGTCAAAAAAACCTCGCTGTAATTGAGCTAGAAAAGTGGCTTAAGTTTGCAATTTATATGATTTGAGGGAGAGAGAGGGAGAGAGATAAAGCCATAGTTTCTTTTACCCACATTCAGGAAAGATAGAGAGAGAGAGAAAGTGTTGGGTTGTTGAGATTTCTGTCGCTTCATTTTTGGAATTCCGTAAGTTTTCGCCATTTGGATGGGTTTGTGCGCAGAAATTTCCTCGCAAAGAAGAAATTTCAGGTTCTGAAACTTTCAGTTTGCATTGAGTCGTTAGAAGAAAATTTGCTATAAAGCGTCAATGTTGTTAATATTAATTTTTTAGAGCCTGCTGTTTCCGAGGAAGTTGTGCTGATGGCTAGCTTTGCTATAAGGTGCTATAAGGTACAACTTCCGAAAAGTAGCACAGAACAGCAAATCCAATTCTTTCGGCATTTCTGCAAAACTCCATAAGCTTTCGTAATGACATCAGATTAGCACAAATTTTCTTCTCAAATCTTCAAATTCTCTTGAAGGAGCAGGTCATGAAACCTATGTACTCATGCTTTCGCATTTTTTCTATATTTCATTTTTTAGCGCCTAACTCAAAATCAAAGCTTGTGTTTCTTTCGGTTGTATTTCTCCAAGCTTTCCAAAGGGAAAAATGAAGTTGCCTTACACGCTAGAGGTTTCAGCTTTTTAGTAAGATTCATTCAAACCCTCAAAATGGTAAAGTTACGAATTTTCAAAAATGAAACGACAGTATCTTGAGATGGTTAATATATCTCAAGATTTTTATGTGAGAGTGAAAAAGCCATGTGTGAGTACTGCTATCTATAAGCTGAGATCGTGATACAGACACATGGCTTCGAATGACCTCGAGTGAGTAGTAGAAAATTTTTTGGTGGAATTCGTTTTATAATATGTTTCCGATCTTAGTTCCTTGTGAATATGAACAAAGCCACATCAAGTTATTAATCGTTTCAATGAGTGCGCTTGAAACACTATTATAAATAGGAATTTATGGAATAGCAATCAATCTTGACTTTATACGGGAGAAATTCTGAAGCAATATTTACGTTATGATGTGATCTAATACGATTTTGAGACTTAATGGATATTTTAGATGGAATTTTTTGTTTATTTTTCTGGTTCATCAAACCTCCTTTTTCATAAAACTAGCACTTCACTAGCAGATAGTAAAGTAATCGTAAGTAATCTTAGTTTCAAGTCCAGTTTGTGCAAAATTCTATCAAATGAGATAAAATCAAAGGATACAACGTTGTCGGCTATTACGATACGAAGAGAAATGCCAGCTATCGCCACTACTGCATCATTCTCTGGTCAACACCCCATAGAATGCGAGTTGTCAGAACAGATTACGAGATACCACTGACAGAATTACCCATATCACATCCATCCGGTCAGGGCTATGAATGGAATTTTTTGGAGTACACTATAGATGAGAGGGATCTTTATGGAAGAGGAAGACGTGGAAACAATCGAAAAATTCGAACATTTCTTTGAAATTCTTAGTCCAAATCTCAATGACGTACTCAGATAATCTAGAGCATTACTGGATTATTGGATTTTTTCCTCACTTGACTCACTCACTATTAGTGGGGCATCCTCATTGGTCAGGTGCGACTGCGATTGGTCAATTGCACAAATAAGCGTGAAGGTCGGCAGAAACTGCCGATAGTTACAGAGGGTAAAGTTGAAATCAAAGCGTGGAAATAGCAAATTCTATTGAGTAGATTGCAATATATTATAATCAGAGGAGCTATCGGAACCTGTGCAGATCGCAACTAACCGATAGCTGAAAGTATAATAGATGGTAGAAAGTATCGTGCAACAGGATAAACAATTCCATTCCAGCTGGAAGTATATCTGCAGAACTGGTAGTAGTTGATCATACTTAAGTGTTATTTTACAAACTGGTTTCTAGAGCGTTTGCACAATTTTTTCCCCGTATGGTATTTTTTCAGACAACATGAAAAACTTTGCAGATACAGTTGCTGTTCGGATACCGAGTGTACCTATGAACGGTACGGTAATCATGATCGACCAAACTATATGGTGTTGAGTCTGCAGCATGGAAAATCAAAATTATTCTACTAAACTTTTGAACCAGTGCAAATTTTATGGCTGTAGACTAAGTCTTGACGGTAGCGAAATTTTTGCCACCAGCAACCGCGAAGGTAAGCTAATGGACTGTTAGTTTACTTCAGGAACAGACAACATTTTAATGGGCAAAAATTTAAACTTCGCAATCCATGAAATTCAAAAACTTTCAATGAGAAAAAGATGAGAAATTGTCCTGCATTGTAAAGTGCAACTCCAAAATTTGATTTTCGCAAACAATTTCATCAAGTATTTGTCCAAATCAATTGATGGATGGAAAGGGTTAGAATGCTTACATAACATTTACACTTGCTTTATATTAGTGCAAGTTACCAATAACCAAGCATTTGGCTTTGAAAAATTATGGTTTCTCATATTACTAATTAGGAGCCGAGTGTGAGAGGTTGAACCCGGAACATAAATAAGAGCACATATGGGGTAACGTAATCGAGTAAACAGAAGGAAATATATACGGCATAGGTTGCGGTTATAAGTAGTTGTGGCGAATAAGGCTGAACAGATCCATGCTCAAGAAGTGTTAGCTAAATTGAAGCTCAGGAACTATCATTTGTTTTGTGGAGGAGCCAAGTACCGATTTAATTAGGTTTTCAGTACCTGCTGAGGATCAAAAGTGAAAGAGAAATTGAGAACTTTGTTCTAGCAAAATGAGCCGTAATGACAGTGGAAAGGCAACCATCGACAGTGGAAGAGTTGCGTGTTTGAGCAGTATATCAGTCAAAAGGCAACTGTCTGAGTTCTTCTCACAGCTCTGGCATAAATCAGCATGCGCACATCATCACCCTCCAGTAATTCATCATCTTCTCCACACTGCGGCGGACTGTGAACCCTCCAATCCATGAAAATGCTAGAATTCTAGCAGTTTCCAGCAAATGCCAGAATTCCGCTGATTGCAAAGTGTTTCTCTATGGAGAGGCTAAATTGGAGAGAAACGTTGTGGTAAGCAATCAGTGAATTAGAAGATCACCAATCTTAGTTCTACTCACTTTCAGAGATGACAAAAATTTAGCGTTTTTGACGGAACACGGTTGCGGTTTCAAAGCTATGGAAAAAGATTTTCGTCAATCGTTCTTTCTCCATAGGGCAATGTCTCAGCAGAATGTCATTTTTCATATTTCCACTTTTCAGACCTTCTCGCAATAAGGAACCCATATGGGCTTTTCAGCTCATGAAAATGCAAAAATGAGCTTTTTCCAAAGCTCTTCAGGTCCGCATCCAGTGAAGATACTCCGGAAGTCTTCCGCGCCCCGCCCTCGTTCCGGGCTCCGCCCACTTGCACGTATTCTCCGCTGGTTGCGGACCTGAAAGGCTTTGGAAAAAGCTCGTTTTCGCCCTTTTCATGCGCTGAAAAGCCCAGATATGGAGTCCCCATGGCGAGGATGGTCCGAAAAGGTGAAAAATTGGAGAATGAAATTCTTCCGAGGCAATGCCTTTAAAGCAGCTATTTCGTAAGCGAGTTCAAAATTATATTTACTGTTCATTTAGTTAATAATACCAACACGCAACACCACAGCGCTAATGTTGACATTAAAGTAATACTCCTTTCTAGTATGGTAGGCATATGAGTGATTTGCTCAAAAGATTTGTCTCTATTGTGCTAATAGTCAAAACTATGTCACAATTATCGTAAGGTATTTAAGAGCTCATTTTCTAAAGTGTTCAAACCCTCTTAATTAACAGTTAAACAACTCTAAAATCTCAAAACTCTAGACTATGTTTTCATGGCCTGATAACTATGTAAATGTAGCAAACTTTTAAATTTGCAAATTGACAATTCCCTTGCCTAATAGAATGTAAAACGATGCCTTCACAGGCAACAAGAAGAAATCCATTTTCTTACGACCCATGCTTGCCAAAACGGTGAGCGCGCGCCGTTTCTAATTTACTTCACCACTTCCTGCACCCTTCTCCAATAATCTTTTTGTTTGCTTGCCATGCATACGAAAGTAATGACCACTAAAAATAGATCTCGGTTCCTTTTCGTACAGATTCCGCGATGTTGAAACATAGAAACATTTTGTGAAAGTGGTGATAATGGCAAAAAAGTTTTAATGTCAGTTTATAGATATATTTGCAAATCTGTCCATGTATTGATCTGAATAAAGGATAAATGTTTCGGCAGATATGGATATCCTACAAGTATGGCCAATGTGTGTAGAAGATTTCTTGACTTTCCAACAAGTCATTATGAAAATCTGACTAAGAGACATTTATATACGTATAGAGCAGCAATTTTACACTTCCTATTTTAGTAAGCTGAAAATTACTGACTAAAACGTCGCTTAGGGGAAGTGTTGCGGCAAAACTTCTGGCCTTCTTATATCGATAACGTTTGGAAAGCCTTATCTAAGCCATTAGCCAAGTGGGAGTCATACGACAATTTGCGAGCAAGTAATTCAACTTCCCCCTCCAACCCAGACCATAGGTTCTACCGTACTCGAGGACGCTGATTGGTCCGTTCGAGAAACCACAGTCTGGCCTGGTCTATAAAGTTGATTTGTCGGACTTCAATGCATCGAATGAGCTGCAACTTGGGCAGATAGCTTTATTGTTCCTTCGATCGCTTTCCCATAGGATTTCGAGAACGCTAGCAGAGGAACGAATATTGTTCTTAGGCACCGTCTCCACGGATAACTGGTCCTTTC